CCGCCCGCCTCGGGTGTCTTGCCCGGGCAGGAGCAGCGTGCCCGATCCCGATAACCCATATTTAGACACAGCGCTTTCCCACAGGCTGGCAACGTCAGCAGCTGGCAAGCGAGCACCCACGGGGATGTGTCGTGGGCTGCCCCAGCCGCCCCGCACGGCCCCGGTCCAGAGCCCTCCCTGCAGAGCCCTGCCTGCACCCTCTCCCCGTCCAGGGAGGTGGCCCCAGCCCTTTCAGCCACAGTCCTTCGTGTCCCCTTCCCTCCCTGGGCCCATCCCGTTCCTTAGGGATTTCCTCAGCGCTCCTTTTCCCACCTCCTGCCTCTTGGGAGGAGGGCTGGATGACGGTCAGGTCAGGTCACTGTGGCCAGGGAGGCAGTCGATGCCCATGGGATCTGTAACGATTCCTTCCATCAGGCCCCACAAAACGTTCTCAGGGTTATTAACAGGAAAAAACCTGTTATGTGCAGGCAGCAGGCATGAGCCCAGTGTAGCTGGCCGGGCTGGGCTCTGTGGGAGCAAGGTTGCCTGCTGTAGGTGACCCTGCTTCGGCAGGGGGGTTGGACTAGATGACCCACAGAGGTCCCTTCCAACCCCTACCATTCTGTGATTCTGTAAGGCGCTGGTGGCCAGCGAGTGCCCGCGGCAGGAGGGGTTATTGCAGCCCGTGCAGAGGAGAGTGACTCCCTGCAATACCATATTTGCTCACTTAATGCCTGGTTTTCTCCCCCTGTCCCCACCCATGCTCTTATTTTTTGCTCTTCAACCCAAGCACGTCTCTTCCAAAGTGACCACAGAGCCACCGCTGCTTGCAGGCTGTGAGCTGGGCTGTGCCCGGGCTGGGCGAAGCGTCGTCTCGGTGCCTCCCCAGCTATTTCTGGGCTGTTTCCCTTCCTTCTGGCAGGCGGGCGGGCAGCTAGCGCACCTCACCCCGCTCCCCTTCCCCTCCAAACATGCTACGGCTTCTTCCCTGCTGTTCTGAGAGCCAGCACTGCGCAGTTTAAATCAGATCTGTCTGGGGGGGGAGGGAGAGCTCAAGCCAAGGGCGTAAAGGTCTGACGAAGCATTTCAGCCCCGTCCATGCCGTTGCTCTTCCCAGACCACCGCAACCTGACCTTTGATCCCGACACGGCCAACAAGTACCTGGAGCTGTCAAAGGGTAACCGGAAAGCCAAGCACGGCCCCGGTGCCGTCTGTGGGCGGCAGGAGCAGGGCGCCCGCTTCGAGCCCTGGCAGGTGCTGTGCAGGCAGGGCTAC